GATTCTTCTTTGGTTTTATCTATTGTCCAAATATAGCTGCACAGGAAACATTTGAAAACACCAGGGCTTGGATTTGGTGTACTTTAACCTTTCAATAACATCCTTGCGATTTAGAACTTCAACAAGAAATCCCTGACAACAGATTTTCCCAATACATTTCTTTTTACTTCTTGATTGCTGCTCTCCTGGCTATGGTGGATCTAAGTTAAAAAAAAATACTGACAACTTCAAGCTTTTCTCCATCATGATGTTGCCTCTTGGCCCAGTAGTGAGGATTTTTGCTTCCTTGATGTTGATATAGATAAGCCATATTGAAGGCTGTTGTCTTTGATTTTCTGCAGTAAGTGCTTTAAATCTTTTTCACTTTGTGGAAGCATGATTATATCATCTGCATAATGCAGGTTGTTGAGGAGTCTTCCTCCAATCCTGATGACTTTTTCTTCTTCACTCAGTCCAGCTGCTCCAATGATTCGCTCAGCATACAGACTGAACAGGGACAAAGAAATGCTATGTCTAAAGCACATGCCTTCGGATTTTAAACGATACAGTGCTCCCTGGTTCTGTTCAGACAACTGCTTCCTCGTCTACGTAAAGGTTTTGCATGAACATACTTAAGTGTTCTGGAATTCCCTCTCTTCTCAATTTTAGCTGTAATTTGTTATGATCCATACAAACAAATGCCTTGCATAATCAATAAAACAAAAGCAAGTATCTTCTGGTAAACTCTGCTTTCAGCCAAGATGCATCTGACATCAGCAATGATATTCCTTGTGTGACAGGCTCTTCTGAATCCAGCTTGAATTTCTGCCAATTCCCTGTTGATGTACTGAACTCATCTTGAAATTATGGTAATTTTCTCCCAATGTATTGTTGCAGTACTTTAAAAAAAATCTTTACCAAGGTTTTCCTTGTTTGTAACCTATTAACTTTCCTAATAAACAGGTAACAGTGGCTCTGTGGATCTGTGCGGTTACTGCAATGGATTTTTAACCCAGTAGTATAGCGAAATATCTGCAGATGAGTGTTGCACGAAGGAGAGGAAGACCTTCATCCACATGGGGATTGACATGGTAACTTCCACAACGGGCTCTCATGTGTCAGGAAGTGTGAGGATGGCACAGGATAGAACAGGGCTCAGATCTTTTGTTCATACGGTCACTATGAGTCATACTGATGGCACCTAACAACAACAGGCATATGAGTATAGAGGTCATGTCTGACCTTATGGAAATTGGTCTTGTATTGAGAATATTGCTAATAGGGATATTCTATTCAGTGAAGTTAATGTAGGGTGGAGAGGTAGCACAAGAGAGGAAGACCCTGGATGAGATGGATTGATACAGTGACTAGGGCAATGGGGTAGTTGTGTCAGAGTCAGTGAGACTGGCTCAGGACAGGGCAGGCTTCAGAGCTATCAGACACAGGGTCGTTATGCATCCCAAGTCACGTGACAGTAGTTCATCACAACAATAAGATAGGTCAGACTCTGTGGCCATCACCATGCCAGCTACACTCATTTTACAAATGCCTACGTGGTTGCTGTGATGCTGAAGACTGTGACAGTGATGTGCTATCGTGGTAATGGGCACCCATGGTGGACAGTGTTGGCTGGAGCTTCCCGACTAAATCAAGCCTGGAAGCAGGAGCGGCATCCACTTCCGAAATGGCTTGCCTCCGGAAACTCTGTACAAACAGTGCTCAGGCTGTTCGTTCATAGGGTCGCTATGAGTCGTCTACGACTCGACAGCATTAAACAACAACAACAACACTTTTATCTGATCCGAGAAATCTCATGAGTGCCTCAACAATCTGAATCATCATTCAATCTCTCTTCCTTTAGCAACTGTTAGCAGTTAGTTCCTGTTAGCAACTGGCAGAGTCTTTAGAACTGTGTTCATCTGATACGTGTACTATAGTTATGGAGGAGGGATGTTTTCAAAGTTCAGCTCTAATTGTATCACCTAGAAGGTTTCAGAAGGCTCTTTATGACAGGTGAGATGACACATGAAGCACACAGATATTCCATGATTTGCTTTTGACCTTCCTTTCTACCTACCTCTCTAAACATAACTATAACCACTACAAATCACCAGCAAATTATATCTCCCATCAGACTAACCTCCTTAGATCTCATCTTGAAAACCATACTATTTCAAGACTCTTGCTCAAATGCCCTTCTCCAACCCCGCCCAGCCTGTGTGGAGAATGAGCATATATCTTTCCCGGCCAATCATAAGGAATCTTCTGTAATGAAGCCTCTGATGACCTTCTTAAGCAAAGACAGTTATTCCTCTCTCGGGTGTCTGCATTAACCTAAACAGATCCTTGAACCCCATAGGGTTGAGGTTATATTTTATATCATTAGCAATGCGAAGTAGGCCTTCAATGAGTGTATGAATTAAGTGTGTGAATTTAATGAGGTGAGTAATGAGAAAAGTTACTGTAATTAATTTATTATCACATGTTACTGGAGAGAGACGACCTAACTCATATCCTGGAGAATAGAAGTTGGATGGAGAAGCCTACGGGTACACACTTATCTTTCCTGTTGTCTAGTAAAAACTCTTCAAGTTTCCTAGACAATATTCGTACTGTAGTTTGTTTCTCTTTTTTGAAGTAAAAGGGAGGAAAGTGACCTGCTAGACTTAAAACAATAACTTAAAAGAAGAGTCAAAAGATGTGATTGGGTGGATTTTTTATATACATCTTTCTGTCTGGAATGATCTGTTTATGATGTAGGCTTTCATTAACTCCTACTTCATAAAGAACTCATCATCCAAACTCTAAAAACCCAGCAGCGTGTGTACGCCCTTCACCCGGGCCAGCCCAGTGGCTAATAACTCCTCAGATGTGGGCTTTGCCTCACTCATTCACTAAGTGAATGCTTTTCATTGTGTTAACACTTTTAATCTTTGTATTCATTCTTATTAATGGGGAACAGAGAGTTCCAATGAAGTGGAATTAGGCCAAATGAAAATTCAAATCTTAAATAAGTATAAATATATTCCCTCGCTACACAATGTTCCTTAAGTTTTCTCTCTTATCATTAAGAAAGAATGTTGGCCAAAGCTGCAATAATTCCCAGCAGGTATTTTACACTCATTCTATCTATGTTGTCCTCTTGCATAAGTACAGAATGGACTCCAAACGCCCCCTTTAAGAGTCTCAGAAGAATGACAACTTTTCAAACATCCCATCAAAATGAATTAAAATACAAACAAAATCCATGCACAAGAAATAATCCTCAGAGAGTTCAGCTCTTCTTGAATTTTAAACGGAGGGAAAGTTGCCATCACGTTGATTCGACTCCTGAAGTGCTTATCAGTGCCAGAGGAGAACTGTGGTCAGCAGGGTTTCAATGGTTGATTTTTAGAAGACTATGAAGTCTTCCTTCTGAGGTTTCCATGCCTGGACTCAAACCCCCGAACTTTTGGTTTGAAGTCAAGCAAACTAGCAGTTTGTACTATTCCTGCAATCCTTCAGCATTAGTTAGTTCTATAGAGTCTAGAAACCAGTTGAAGAAAGTCCAATGAAGTCTTTATGATGAAAAGCTACACACTGGACGACTGTGGCACAGACTAAAGGACTATAAAAAATATCCCTTATAATCTTCACAGCAGCACTAGGCATGAAATATTTATATTCTGATTTTTGCCATCAAGAAAACTAAGGCTCAGTGAGGCTTGGTAACTTGCTCCAAGATCAGAGAGTCAACAGTAAAACGAGTCAAATTCTCTTTTCATTAGTTTCCTTTTCAAAAACTTTCTGAGCATTAAAATTAATGGATTTAAATTTATTTGCAACAGTTCTAATGGTGTAGTCAGTGGAGGGTCACAATGATGACCAAATGCCGAGCGGACTCTGGTGGTTCAAATCCAGCCGTGGCTCAGGAGAAAAAAGGGTAACCTGGACACACTTAGATTTACAGGCTCAGCGACGCCACGGAGAGTCACTGGGAGTCAGAACCAACCTAACAGCAGTGAGTGACGTGTCCCAGTACAAATACTCACAAAGGTTTACAGCCTCAGAAACCCGATGAGTCAGAAGCAGCTTGTCGGTAGGACGCTACCTAGATACAAGATTTAGGTCTTCCTTCCTACCAAAACCCTCTTCAGATTCTCAGCTCAGTTTCATGCACATTAGTCAAGTTCCCCTAAATTCATGTCCGATATGGAGCTTTCATCAGCTACTAAATACAACCCACAATAATTTTGTTCGTTTTGTCCCTCTTTGTACTCTGTACTAGTCAGAAACTCGTCTTCAGGTTAACTCACTTCTCTCCAAATGCAGACATGAATCATCACTTTCCCATTTTTGTGCCCACTAAGATGCTTCATTTTGATACATTCCTTTTCAAATTGCACATAAAACAGCAAAATGAAGTAAAACATGTTCATTGCCAAAAGACAAAAAAAAAAAGAAAAGGAAGGTTTAGATTCGAATCCCATCTTGGCCCTCCTTAGTTGAACAACTTGCCAAGTTCCTTCTGTTTATTAACTCTCTCTTCCCTCATGTACAACAAAGACTTTATCTTCCATTTTACTGAGATTTTTTTTCTTAGTATAAATAAACTATACCAAGATCCTGAGGTAAGCCCTCAGTAATTAGCAAGTGTTGTTACCATAATTAATAAGTTGAGAGGATGATGTGTCAATCTGTGAATATTTAGAAACTCTTGGCAGGTATACTGGATAGAATTAGTGCTGAAAGTCCTACCCAGAAGTACAATCACTAACTTCCGTTCACAGGGACCTGATGGAGCAGAGCAGCAGCGCCCTGCAGGGCTTCCCAGGGAAGAGAGCTGACGGACACATCTTTCTTCTGCAAACTCCTGGTGAGTTCCGGCAGCGGATCTTCTGGTTGACCATGCACCTCCTAATTCACCAGGGTCCCTTGCTAAAACTACAATTTTAAACTAGAATTTTTGCCACTCTTTTCGGACACTGACCGTCAAACAGCCTGCCCCAACATTATTTTTATTAGGATACTGGCATTCTTACCTGATGCTGGCAGACTTTGCTTTTAAGTCATTCCACCTCTGGTTCATGTCATCTAGTCGATGCTGAAGCATAGTGGCTTCTTCAGAATTTCCTAAAGCTTTTACCATCTTCTGTCGGTTTCCATCAATGCTTTTAAAGATGTCATTGTGAGCATCAATTTCCGCCTGGATATCCTAAAGGCAAAAAGCAAGGAGATAATGCAAATGTTACATCCAAGTGTCAACATGACAGGAGATTTCTATACACAGCTTCAAAGGCAGGCAAGGTAAATCCACCAGCTGCTTTGCCAAAGAATGACAGGCAATCTCCTCCTGTGAGACTTACAGCTTCTGAAATCCCCACTACGAGTGGGTGCCGAATGGGTAGTAATGAGTTTAAGTTTTATGGGGTTTAGCCCATTAAACTGCTGTCAAGATAGCTATCCATTTTAATTTTGGCAATCATGCTTTCTCCCAAAATAAAATGTAAGTAACCTAAACAGGTAACAGCTAGTGACCTAAAGGTGTAACATACTAAATTGTATTCATTTACAAATGAAAATTTAAGACAGCAAGGCACCAGAAAGGTCCATATCCATTTCCCTGGCATATGCGTTAATAGACGGTAAGCACTTCGAGGGAACTCTCTGATGGGAAGTCTATAACAAGCAAGCACTCCTAGCCCAGAGGCTGTGTATCTTCTGCAGTTCAGATCTACCAGAGACTACAGAGAGGCTCCTCTTGTGCTTAAGAGCCTCAGAAACTCAACGGAGGGTTGCTAAGGAGTCAGAACCAACTCAACAGTAGTGAATCTGAAATTCATTAAGCGATTGACTGTAGGAAAAGAATGTCACATTTCATGCAATGGGTGTGAATACATGGAGAGGAATAACACGATATTCTTTTTACCCATCTCCCTTTTCCTTTATAAAACCTACTCTTCCTACTTTTTTTCCATTTGGAAAAAAAATCAAGTTGCAAATATTAGAATAGCAATTGTTCATTCTCTCTTCTTTAACACTCTTTTGTATTGAAAATTCACACCTGATACCTCAGGCAGCCACGCATCCCTTCAGAAACCACGGCTTGGGGACTGCGCTGCATGTAAGCAATCTTTCTTCAGTTCCCACAGGTCAGTATGAACCAGAAGAACTATCCAGATCTTTTGCACATCACCAATTAGTATATATATATATGGAAGATGACTTCAATGGGGTGAAGGGACAGGAAGATTGTACTCTTAATTCCTGATGGGGCAGAAGAAACTAACAGAAGTGGGGAGGAATTGAGGCAAAGCTTGATGAAGAGTTCTGGAAGATTTATTCTCCCAATTTACAAGCCCATTAGTCCCTGAAGGTATTTGGGCCTAATGACAAAACAGAATTAGACCCATGCGCAGTGTGATCTGTGTACAGAGGGTATTACGAGTTTCCCACTGAACACACATCTCTGAGACTGTTAAATCTACAGTTTACTGGCAGCTCCACCTGAGTGCGGTGCCAAGAGGACTGACAGGGCAGCGGGGCAGCGCCAGATCCTGACTCAATATTCCCCCACTGGTCAAGATTAGGCTCAGCAATGGCAAGTTCATGACCACTTTCATTCAGGATGCTTCAAAAAGAAATCCAAAGTTCTACAGAAAAAGTGGACTTTCTACTGGAAAGTTCTGGGTACCATCCCTGGAACAGCACAGTTTCCCTTCTTTGGGATGAAAATGTCTGACTTTTATATCCTGAGATCTATTTTAAGATATCTAAAGGAATACATTAACAAGACAACAGATAATATTTATGATGTTTTTAATTTTATTTTGTATACTTTGGACATGTTGCAAGGAGGGATCGGTCCTTGGAGAGGGACATCATGCTTGGTAGGTGGAGGGACAGCGCAGAAGGGGAAGGCCCCCTATGAGGTGGACTGATTCGGTGACTGGGGTAATCGGGATGGGTGTGTCGGAGACGGTGCGATTGGTACAGGACAGAGCAGAGTTTAGGGCTGTTGTACATAGGGTCGCTATGAGTCGCAAGCGACTCGACGGCACATAACAACAACATATAGGTATGCGAGCCAATCTTCATTAAGTTCAACAACACAATCAGTAAGCATGGCTTCTGTTTAGAGAACCTGACCTCAAATTTCCTCTCCTGGACATCATTATCATGGACCACACATAATATCACAAAACAAAGGTGCAGGATAATGAGAGGTGCAGGAATGACTGCGAATAAGTATATCTTGACTTACTGTTGTACTCGCTAGCCTGTGCAATGCCAGAAAAATTAACTGAACTCAAGAACTAGGAAAAAAAAATATGGTGATTATTTTTTTCAATGTCTTCCTTTAAAAACTTTCAACATAGGATCATAAATCCTTTAGCAGCTCACACTGCAAAGCCCCGGCTAAGCGTGTCACTGGAAATTGAGAATTAAATGGAGTTAATGAATCATGCTTCTTTACAGGTCACTGTGCAATGATGCAATGGTCATAAAATCAAGGTGCCAGCATGGGAGGCTGTCTCTAATCATGACCCTGACGTAACATCAAACGTTAGAATAAGTTAGGGGCCCACGAAGCCAAGTGGGCTCTCTCACTAGCTGCACAGCAGTGAGATATGGCTGTACAAATGCTTCCCTCTGTCATCTGGCAGTCCTCTGGACAGAACAACACAAAATGGCTACTGGGAATGAATTACAGAAAATTAATCTGTCTGGACAATAAATAAGGAAGATCAAGGAAGAGTTCCATCTGGACAAAGAGTAAGGAAAAAGAAAGAAGAATCAATGCCTTTGCATGAGGGGCTGGGATACTGAGTATTCCACAGACTGCTGGAAGAACAAACAAATTTGGCTCAAGAAATGCCGTCATGAGTGAAATATATCAGTCACAAAAGGACAAATACTGCATAGTACCACTTGTAAAAAGGGACTAACGGGGTTGAGGGGAGACTGAGAAAGATGGGATAAATTATGTATACTGCATTGAAACAGATGAAGGAGAGAACTATTTAAAAGGGATATATGGTTAGGTATTATTGTCATGACAGGAGTCCAGAATGAAGGTTGTATAGTGGGGTGGACTTGGGGGGAGGGATTGTATAACAACAAAAATTTTTTTCATTTACTTTTCAAAGAGAAGAACAAACTTGGGGAGAGGGGTGGGCAGAGAGAAAGTACAACAATGAATGAATGGAAATTCAAAGTCTCTGTAAATGTTCATTAAAATTAATAACAATAATAATAAATAATAAAAAGAAATGCAGTCACAGTGCTCTTTAGAAGCAAGATGAACCTTTGCTCCTAACAGACCATTATGCTTGGGAAACTATGATGGTAAAAGAAAAAGACGATGGCCGGCCGTCCAAGAGATAGACTGACACAGCCCCTGCAACAGGAGACAGAGAGAAAGGCCCACGAAGATGGTCTGGGGCCGGGCAGGATTCCGTTCTGTCGGACGTGGGCTCACCAGGAGACAGAAATGGCTCCACAGTCCCCAACAGCAATAACAACCACCCATCTGGAGTGCAAAGCTAAACTCTTCCCAGCACTTAACTTAGCACAACTTAAGGGGAAGAGAGGCCATGCCAAGATACTGGAGCAGCTGAACTAACATTTGAAAACAAGCCCAAAAGATTCAGTTGAAACACACCTTCTTTTTTTTTTTTTCTCTTTTTTTTTATTATTAAATTTTATTAGTTTTAATG